GTTAAAAAAAAGTAGTAAATATGAATTGTTGTCTGCAGATTTAATGTCTTTGAAATAAAAACAGTCGACCATTAATCTTTTTATGTGATATGTAAAAAATAACACTTGACAAGAGTATTTTAGTTTATATATATTGGACATTTTCAAAACATTCTCAGAAGTGAGAATTTGTGGCTTCTTTTTAACCTAAAGTAAAAATAAGGTGGTCTTTCTTCTTCCATATTCTTCTTTGCTGAATATTTAAGACATGTGCAGCCTTAAATCCTCTGAAATAAAACACTCTGTCTCACACACAGGTCCGGTACAAAGGGACAGGACGGTGCTGCACTGCCAGTTCTGCGGGAAGCGAGGCCACGCACACAACTTCATGCGGTCCAAACGCTTCTGCTCCACTTCCTGTGCACGCGGGTGAGAATCAGAAACACAAAGAGAGAGCAGCTAATGCAGCCTGTGACCTCTGTCTCTGAGCTGCAGCTGTGTGTTCAGGGGTGTTGCTGCGCTGGCAGGATGTGGTGTGTGTGGCCGGTGCAGAACACACACAGGTGTTACATGCAGTGTGTGTGAATTAAAACTATTTGTATTTCTGCCTCAGGTTTAACGTGCGTCTGACGAAGCGTCTGCGGGCTCTGAGCGCAGGGAGCCGGTCTGAAAGGCCCCGACCCACTCTGAACAGGGCCGAGTCCGTCCCGGGGAAGCCTCTTTTACTGAGACTGGTAGGGACCCTGAACTCACCACCAGTTTAAAATAACACTTACTACACAAATTACTACGAGTTTACCTCATATAAGTGAACTAGGGTGCAGCAAAATACCAGAATTGATTTTCAAAAAATTATATATTTTCAATAAATAGGTTGCTTATACTCTTAGGACAATATCTAATATAAATAATAATAATAATAATATAAATAATCTAGCGTACCCCTAAATAATCTATTTCAGTTTTTGCTTGTCTCCCTTTCCTAACAACTCAAATGATTGTGTTTAATTTGCAAAAGAGAGACAAAATGCACAATAAAAAAAGTTTTTTTATTCACACTAACTTTAAACAGCAGGGGGAGACATTTGAAAACTAGTATTTAAAAAATACATACAAATAATTATCAATATATAACTAAAAGTCCTCAGATTAAAGAAAAATAAGAACACTTAATACAATTTAAATAAAATGAAGAGATGATTATTCAGGTGGCAAAGTTTGTATTAGTTCAATTAATCTGTCAAATATGTTCATTTATAAAAAAGAATAATCAGAGCTGCCAGAGTGAGACTTCACTCCTAACTTTGAGAAACATAAAGTATAATATAAGACAGATAAATGTTTGGGGAATAAAAAGCGAACCCAAATATAAAAAGATACAAATCCCAGAACTGTTGTCAATATTAAAAATAACTACGCCAGAATGATAAAAGTCATCATCTCAACATTATTCAAAGAAGTAATTCAGATTAACAAAACACAACAAGATGCAGACCACAAAACTACAAAACAACTCAAGCATGTTAGCATAGTAACATTTAGCTTGTGAGCTAGCAATGAACTATGAACTATGGTTGTTAACCAACATGCTAGCATATAGCATGTAGCCTAATGTTTAGCACGTTTTGCTGCTGCTAACATGTCTTTATGTTCAACTGTATTCCATGATTAAACTCATCAAATGAGGGCCTTTCAGTTTGCTGTAAAAGTCTGCAGTTAAATCCTCTTCTCAGTCCTCAATGTTTTCACCAAAATACACCTAAGTGCTCACACAGGTGTTATTAAAGAGCCTCAATGTCTTATGGGATTTGTAGTTCTGAGGGCTCTTTTGAAACTATTTGGTTTAAGATTGAGTTATTTTACTTTTGAGTTAGCCATTAATACTTCTGTACTTTTTGCAGCGGTGAAATAAATATTCAGATGTTTCAGTTAAAGTATTAGTAACACCATGAAAACAATCACTTTTAAGTGAAAGTCATTAAAGTACATTATTATAATAAGTAAAAATAAAGTATAGAGAACGTATCTAAAGTATTATTCAGGACAAAACATCAAAAATATTTTCAAATATTTAAAAATAAGTAAAAGAAAAATCAACAACATCAATTTAGAAAAATGACCAAACAGTTAATAAAATAGTTGCCAATTGTTTTGTTGTCTACTGATTGGACAGGCTGTCTCTCTTATATTATCTTTTGTGACATTTAATTTGTCACACAACTTAATATTTTACTTTTTTTGTATTTAAATGTTTTGTATTTGTTTTACTAAGGATGTCAAGTACTTTAATTTGAAATAAGGTGCATTACTCAAGATTCATTTGTAAGAAAACATCACATTTAAAAACCCTTAGTATTTTTTGTAGAATGAATCTAAAATATTTGAAGTAACTTGAGCTGTCAGATAAGTAAAAGTACAATATTTACCTCTCAAAGTAAGTAGAAGTATAACAAATGTCATGAGAAGGAAAACCTCAAGTAAAGCACATGTATCAAAGAGCATTACTTGAGTAAATGTACTTAATTACATTTTAGCAAGATCTTTAAGTATTAAAATAATAACAGATTAACTCACAATTCTTCTGCAGCCTCGTGATCTGTGGAGCGCCGGGCGGCGAGAGAAGGAGGGGAAGGAGAAGGCGACGGAGGCAGAAGAAGATGAGGAGGAGGAGGAAGAGGAGGAGGAGGAGGAGGGGGAAGAAGAGGAGGAAATGGAGGGAGGGGGAGAGGAGGAAGATGATGAGGGGGAAGAAGATCCTGCTGTCGCCATGACGGCCAGGATGGAGCGGCGGGCGGCGAGGAGAGCGAGGAGGGCGTCCGCCCCCCCCGCTGACCACGCCCACCCCCAAACCAACGAGCACCTTCAGACCCCCCCCCACCCAGTGGAGCGTGGAGGAGGTCACCGCCTTCATACACACACTGCCAGGTACACTTCAAATAAAGGCTTTACATCAGAAAATTATAATTGTAAATGTAATTACACTGAACAAAAATATAAATGCAACACTTTTGTTTTTGCTCCCATATTTCATGAGATGAACTCAAAGATCTAAAACATTTTCTATATACACAAAATAACCATTTCTCTCAAATATTGTTCACAAATCGGAAAAAATCTGTGATAGTGAGCACTTCTCCTTTGCCGAGATAATCCATCCCACCTCACAGGTGTGGCATATCAAGATGCTGATTAGACAGCATGATTATTGCACAGGTGTGCCTTAGGCTGGCCACAACAAAAGGCCACTCTGAAATGAAAACATTTCAGATTTGTGAACAATATTTGAGAGAAATGGTTATTTTGTGTATATAGAAAATGTTTTAGATCTTTGAGTTCATCTCATGAAAAATGGGAGCAAAAACAAAAGTGTTGCATTTATATTTTTGTTCAGTGTATTTCATGGGTAACAATCGGTCTAAACATGACAAACTCTAAGTATGATCCTTTTTCTGGGGTGACCGGGATTTTTTAAGTTTATAGAACAAACAATTCTTCTTAATAATTTTCTCTTCGACCTCAGGGGAAAAAGGCAGTTTGATTTGCACAAAATAAAACAGTATAAAATGACTCCATTGTCATTCAGTCTGATTTACACTCGTTAATCATGAGCAGATGACATGTTCTTCATCCAATTAAGTGTTTCGCAAAATACTGAAATCAACCGCCGGCTGAGGCAGCATATCATCCTCCACTGTGAAACATCTGGAAGAAAATCTGAAGAGTGAAAAGTGTTAAAGTATCTGCTCAGAAACACAGAAGAGTTTATCGAGAAGGTTTAGGTCATTTCAAAACAATTTCAATAACCCGAACACATCTGGCGTAATTTTTGGCTTAAAGAAACACAAACTAATTGAGAAAATAATCAACAATGAAAATAATCGTTAGATGCAGTGCCTAACGCTTTAAGATTTTCACAGTGTTACAAAACTGTAAAAAGTATATCTGTTTTAAAATGAAAGCTACAGCTTATTTATTTGTGTTTCAGGCTGCAGCACCAACACCTCGAGAGCTGAAAATATTAATTACTTTTCAATTAACATAGCTCTAAAAGCAAGTAGATTGAGCAGGGGATTTGAAGAAATGTACAGTATAATCTATGAAGAATATGCGCAATTTCCAGAGATAATAGGGCAATAAATGTGCATTAATGTTTTGCTTAGAGACACATCAACACCTTGTTCAGAATAAGCTGTTTGAGGATGGAAATGTGTTTTTAAATATGACCGATCTCATCTTTTTCTCCGTGTTTCAGGCTGCAGCGACGTGGCCGAGGCGTTCCGGCTGCAGGAGATCGATGGCCAAGCTCTGCTGCTGCTCACTGAGGACCATCTGATGACCAGCATGAACATCAAACTTGGACCAGCACTCAAGATCTGCGCTCACATCAACACACTGAAAAACCAATGAGAGACTAAAACAGACAACAAATCAAGCAATGGAGGAAGTTAAATGTGAAGAGAAAGGAGAGTTTTTATGAAAAGCTGACACCAAGGATGACAGAACAAAGTCACAAAAAGAGATTCACGGTAATTTATGAGATTATAAATCAAGGTGTGGCCTTAGGGAACAGAAAAAAAGTCCGGAAGAAATTCAATCCGTTCTGGGGCTGTAGCACGAGAGACTTTTGTAACTTTGTGTATATTTTACATGCCGCTGGAGAGTGTAAATTTGAAGCTATTTCATGAAGGATTTTGAACATTTAATATATAAGATTTGTCTATTTAGTTTTTTTAGAATGTGACGTCAACGACAAATCTATTCAGTAGCTAACATAACCGGTGTGTGTAAAAATAATAATAATAATAATAACACATAGACTTTGTAAGTGATTCATGAAAGTTTAATGTTTTATATCACTATATTCTGGACAAAAACATGTCTGTGGATTAAAAAAAAGTCACTATCAGGGTAGAGGCTGGTGTCTTTAATCATCACATTTTTATGGTATCATGCCTGAAATTATTTAATAAATGAATAATTAATCAAAACGATTGTTTTATCTTATTGTTTGAATAGAAAGAAAGATGTTTTACACCAACAGAGGGCCACAGTGAGACAGGTAAGTGATATATGAAGAGAAATCTGTACTTTGTTAAATAAACTAATATAAATTCATGTCACAAAGTTCCTTCCGGAGATCCAAAAACCTCAAATATGTGCCAAATATTCCAGGTCTGTCTGCTCTTCTGATGAATTCAGGTTTTTGTTTTTCTATCTTTCCATATCTGGTTTAGGTTAGGATCTCACATGAGCTCTGATTGGCTTAAAGTGTGGAGTGAGGGTAGGCATTTCACCACACCCTATAATAACTCTTAGTAGGCATTTTTCTGCGGATCAGCCTCAGGCACATTAACGGGACATTACAGGATTATTTTCTTCTTAAGTTTCTGATCTAAAATACTTATTTTTTCAAGAAATTACATTTTCATTTGTATAAATCAATTGCCTTTTTTTGGAGCAATATTGGGGAACGTTTCATCTTTTTATGAGCAGAGTAGAGAAAAGATACAAATTGTACTTTTTACTTCTGCGTTTTGAGTCGAGTTTTTGAGTCTTTTGTAAAATAAACTAGACTTTTAAAAGTATATATCTGCAAGGAGAGAGAAAAAACTATATTTAAAACACAAATTTGTTGAAAAGAATACGGATTTTTAAGATTTAGTGTGTTTTTAATCGGCGCCTAATTACGCACGGCAGCTCCATGGCACACATGTGCAGGCTGGTGACCGGCAGCGCGGCCAGCTGTGCAGGCTGGGTGGGGGTCATCGTCGCCACGGCCACCAACGACTGGGTCCAGACCTGCGAGTACGCCCTGGCTACCTGCATCCGCATGGACGAGCTCGGTACCCGGGGACTGTGGGCTGAGTGCACGATCTCCCCGGCGCTGTACCACTGCCAGGCGCTCAGCCAGATGCTCAGCCTGCCCGGTATACATCACTATTACATTATCTTTTTAATTAAATTGTGAGTCAGTGTATTCCGTTACCTTACTAACCTGTGAGAAAAATGAAGTCATTAACCTAATCTTATCGAAATGTAACCTGATTACTTTCTGTTACTTATGGATTACCATACCAAAAATGATCAATTTAAAATACAGTGCAAATAAAGAGAAAATAAATACCATACATTTCAATCATACAGTATTTTTGTTTACAAATCAGATCAGAAAAATAGCATAATAATACAATTTAAAAGAAAAAGAATGAAAGAATCCTAACTATCCCAAGTTTTAAATTACAATATAGTTCTCCAAGTATTAAACTGTAAATGGTTCTTTAAATTAGATGTGGGCTCTTTGGATAAATATTAACAGCTGAAAGGCACCGTTAAGGGATCAATACCTTTTATTTGCATCCTGATTACGCAATCCCGTTACATGTAATCCGTTACTCTCTAAACCTCATTCAATCTTTTTACGATTTTGTGCATAACACCCCCCCCCCCTCTCTCTCTCAGCTTACGTGCAGACGTCTCGTGCCCTGATGATCTGCGCATGTCTGCTCGGCCTCCCCGCGATGCTGCTCGTGCTCATGTCCATGCCCTGCGTCCGGCTGCAGAATGACAACTTCGCCGTCAAGCAGCTGCGAGCCCGCGTGGGGGGGGTCCTCTTTATCCTCATGGGTAAGAGCACGCACGCACACACACACACACACACACACGCACACACGCCCTCAGTCACACACACACACACACACACACACACACACACACACACACACACACACACACACACACACACACACACACACACACACACACACACACACACACACACACCACACACACACACACACACACACACACACACCTGGAATATATAAGTTGTTGGTTAATTGGTTAATTGACTAGTTGATAAACCTCTTTATTTGTGTTTAAAGGAGACAGTTTACCATTTAGTAAACTGATTTTGATTTCAGAGGACAGTTTCAGTCTTCAAGAGAAATTAGTTTTGGTTTAGGAAACCATCAATTTTAGAGGACAGTATATGGAGTTTTACAAGAATATAGTTATGGCTTTTGGGTGTATTGATTTAAGAAGACAGTCAATATTTCAAGGACCGAGAGTTTCGATTCTAGTGGACAACGTTTTGTTTTAGAGGAATGTAGGAATATACAGTAGGAGTGGTTTTTGGAGACAGTGATTTAAGAGGACAATATGTTAGGGTATGCAGCATTCAGGTGTTTCCCAGCTGTTGCAGGAGGAAGGAGGCAGAGGGTCTGTCAGACGGCTTCATCCTGACCGGGTTCATCTACTTCCTGTGGGAAAAGACACACACTTTGTTACAACCACATGGAAAAGAAACTCTCTGAAACTCCTCCATTCTTTAGGCCAAATAAATTGTAATCTATCCACTTCTGTCTTTATAAATGTACCCTTTTTTTCCAGCTTTGTGTGGCATCATCTCCACGGTGTGGTTCCCGATCGGCTCTCACCAGGAGGAGCATTTGATGTCGTTCGGGTTCTCTCTGTATGCCGGCTGGGTGGGCTCCGGTCTCTGCCTCCTGGGGGGCATCACCATCCTGTGCTGCCAGGGCACTGACCCCGGGACCCCCGGCCGCGACAACAGCTTCTACTACTCCCGTCAGAGGGGCACCGCCACGCCGCTGGACCCCCCCGCCAACCACGCCAAGAGTGCACGAGTGTGATCACTGAAATTGATCAGCATAAGACTGCATCTTCTTTTCTTACACTTAGATTTGATATGTGTGCATGTAAGGGTTTATTTCCAAACTTCTTTTGGGGCACAAATAATCACATTGGTCAAATTGTTGTATTCTATACGCAGATTTTAAAGTTTTATCAGCCAATAATGTCAGCCAAAAATGTTGTTTTTAATGTTATCTGTCACATTTTTGTCATTGGTAAATGTGTTGTCTATGGTAGAATTTTTGAAAAAGTTTAACTAGCGAATGTTTTCATCGGTTGAATTTCTTTTTTTTATTACATTCCCATTTAATGAAACTGCATTGTCACTAACATTACAAGAGAGAGGTATTTTCTCCAGAATTATAATTCAATTTACGTATCAAGCCGCAATGCAACAGTGTCCTAATCTGCGTTCTCTCTAATATCCACTGGTTGATTGTACAGAAGTCTATGAAAAAATGACCCTACTACTGACTTGATTTATTACATAAGCAAAGATCTTCCTGATAAATGTATGGTCTCAATCTTTAGTTATAAGTCTTCTTCAATACAGCAAGATGTTAATGTAGTACATGTTGGACACATTCAGAGTGAAATAGATGACAAAGCAAAGTATGCTTTAGGACGGGGCTACATTGTGATTGATAGGTCAATCTTTTGCAAAAAGGACCCCTTTCTCGTGTCATTGAGAATGCAGTTTCATTGAATGATAAGGTATTTTTTTTAAGTTTAACATTTTAAGAATCTGTGACTTTCATAATGATACTTTAAATAGCATGAATACATTTTGAAAATATCACCTGAAGTATAAAGAATTTAATTCATTTGTTGTTACATGTTTTCCTTTAATTCATGTACCAAGAACTGTATAACCTTTATTTGAATTGTAGCTTCTTGATCTTAACAGCATAATCAATATGTATCAACTCTAGTGTAAGATTGTTGGCTGGTGCTACACCCAATAAAGGTTTTGAATAAATAACTTCACTCAAAATGAGACATTTATTCCTCATAACTCATTTAGACACATTAACCTAATTATCAGTTTGAAGTGCACGTTATAAAGCAAACACTCTTTCAATTTTAAAACCATTCACTCAGCACTCTAACACAAAACGAACACAAAAGTTACTTTTTGAGGCTTCAGAAAGCCGCTGCAAATATGTTCGGAGATGCCATTTAAACAAGAAAATCATGAATAAAATCCTTGACTTCACGAAATGCAATTTGGGTTATTCATACAATTATTTTTTTTAGATTGATGGTCAACGATTTATTTTGGTGATAATAACTCTTTTACTGCTAGGACAGACCTAAATGGGTTTTTCTGGGTGAATCAAAATTCACCAAGACAAGGGGTAAGAGAAGAGGAAGGCTTGAGAATGGCGGCCATATTTTCCTTAACTTTGTTATTTCTTTTACTCCACATGACTCTGCTAATGATGTTAGAAACAGTTCTGCTTAAATATCTGAGAATATAAGGAGCTCTACAAAGCCAAACCAAGTTATTTTCTTTAAACTTGGGTCTTGAAAACAATGTATGTGAGTGATGAGATGTTTCCAGACTGAATTGCATACAAATTATTCTTATCTTCAGCAAAAATGCTTCTAAAAAATAAAAGAGCAACTTGGGTTAAAGTAGTTCTGTTAAAAAGCTATTGTGCTTCTCTTACAGGGAAGTTTTGAATTGCAACACCACCGCAACACCACTGAGTCTCACACAAACATGCAAACTAAGGAAAGAAACGGGATAGACGTTTGTGGGACAAAATTGTGAAAAAATAAGAATTAACGGCAGCCGTTGCAAAGAAACATCTGTGATGGGAGGTTTCCCTTGTATCCTCTGATCCAAACCAGGTTTTGAGCTGAGCAGAAACTATTAAAGTAACAGTGTCTCATGTGGACGGCACTTTCAAAGTTTAAAGTGATACCACAGGGTTCTCAGTCCTCTTCCTTAAAGCCATGATTGGTCTTTCCTCTGCTGGACTGGTATCCATCCCCATCCCCCTCATACTGCTCCTGCTCTCCATCCTGGTCCTCCTGCTGGATGTTCCCTCTCTCCTCGGGGGCGGACCAGCCCTGGTAGGGCCTCTCTTCCTGGTCCTGGGGGGGGAGGATTTCCTCAGGAGAGAAGGCGTCCAGGTTGTCATCGTAGCGCTGGTAGGAACTGGCGTGAGCCTGCTGCTCACGGGCGTTTAGCTCCAGAGTGCTGTGCCACACCCCGTAACATCCGTAGATCAGCAGACCTGAGGACGGGTAAACATAAATTACTCAATCGTCTGTCAAATAACTGCAAATGTAAAGATGAATACTTTCATCATCCATCAAATAATGTCAGATTTAAATATAAGAGATATGGCATGAGGATTTGGCCTTGTTTTCTCTCACCTATGAAGCACCAGATGGTGAACCTAGCCCAGGTGAGCGGAGAAAGTTTTAGCATGAGGTAGCTGTTGGCCAAAATGGCCGCCGCGGGGACGAAGGGCACACATGGCGCCATGTAGGGCAGCTTCATCCCGCTCTCCGGCTGCTGTATGATCACTATTAAAAGCTTCACCAAGGACCCTGCCATCAGTGTAGCCATGAGGCCCGAAAACACCGCCGCGGCACCAGCTCCCTGCTCAACGCCGAATATGACGGTTGACCAGAGGAGGAAGGAGGTGATGAAGAAGAGGAGGGTGCAGCGGGTGACTGTGCGGCCCGTGGCGGGGGTGGGCCTTGCAGACGCACTGGGAATCCCCAACCGCAGTCGCAGGGTGTAGTAGTGACCTCCCAGAATCCTTTTCAGCAGGGAGGCGCGGCCTGTGTGGAAATCAGAGTCGTCCCCCTCTCCTTCAGTCCCTCCCGTGTGGTAGGAAGCTGACCCGTCGCCGTCTCCGATCAGCATGTGGTCGTCTTTCGTCGGGACCTCTGCGTTGTTCAGGTCGCCCCCGTCGTCCGGGGAGGTGAACTGGTGTGTGTCTATGTTTTCGTCTGGCTGGTATCGTAGCAACAGCACACACACGCTCACAAGAGTGTAGGCCAGCAGCGTGCCGATGGACATCATCTCGATCAGATCCCGCAGGCTCACCAGCAGAGCGAGGACTGCAGCGAGGCTCCCTGACACCACGCACGCCACCACCGGAGTGTGTGTGAGCACAGACACGTGGGACAAGCACCTAAACACACATTATTACAAAGTTAGCTAGTTTATAAGTTAGCAAAGCATTGTAGCACGGGCGTGGAAAAGCATGCACAAGTGTAGACTTTTAAGATCTCCTTTTTTGCAAACAATAAAAAGCCATTTAAAATCAGTAGGTTATTTGTGAATGTCTAAAGCATCTTTGCACGACCAAGCGGGGCGATAACTGGTTGTAGCCTTCGGAAAAAAACGCAATGTCATCACCTTCTGTTCCCTCACACCGGGAACACAGAGTTTGCTGCCGCCTCACCTGAACAGCAGGCCGTCCTGGGACATCGCGTAGATGACCCTGGGCATGGGGAACAGAGAGCCCAGCAGAGAGACCGTGAGCCCAGCGATGGAGCCCACCGCCACGATGTACTTCCCCCACAGGAAGCCGTGCACCGCAAACATCTCCATGAGAGGAGCGGAGCTGTCGATCAGCTCGTAGGGAACCATGAGCGTCAGGATCACACTCACCTGTTCAGAAGGAGGTCAATATATGCGAGAACATCTATTTTGACTGTGTGTCCCGCTCTACCCATGCAAAGGTCAAAAAGGTCAATAGTAATGGAGTTAGTCAAATCAACTCTTAGCACTCAATTCACTTCAGATGTTAATGTTGTAGCAAGTATAAAAGTGATATTTAGTGTTCTTCTTGTATGGCATACTGACCGACACGTATGCGGTGAGGCAGGAGACCAGCGAGGCGGTGATGGCGTACGGGATCGAGGTGTTCGGGTCTTTCGCCTCCTCTCCGGTTGTCGCAATGATGTCGAATCCGATGAAGGCGTAGAAACATGTCGCTGCACCTTGCATCACCTGATCAGCCATAAGAGATTAACTTAATCTTGAATGAGATTTAAGGAATACGCTTTCAGATCCTTTATTTGAGTGGAAGTACTTATACTAAAAAGGGCAACTTGAGGTATTTGTACTTTACATTTTTTCTTTTCACTACACCTATTATACATTACACCATTGTATCTCACCCCTGACCAGCCGTAGGGCAGGAAGTTTCCGCTCTCCCAGTTTTTAGCTGAAAGGAAGAAGAGTCCGGCGATGATCATGAAGACCCAGACCACCAGGTTGACCACGTTCAGAACGTTGTTGAAGCCCACCGAGTTACGCACACCCAGAGCGATGATAACGGTGACCAAGAGCGCGATAAACAGGGCCAGCAGGTCGGGGTATGTGTCCTCACCCTTACCTGAGGAACACACACAGCAGTATTTTCAATAACATATTACATCGATATGAAGAGAAATAAGTTGGTGTTTGTATAAAGACAACAACTGTTGTAACTAAGATACCTTTTGCACAGTTTTTGGTGTTTGAATCAGTTTTCTTACTTTGCACTGGCATTAACCAAAGTCATGGACTAGGTTCATATTTTTTTACAGAACAACAGAGCCTCACACGGGGCACCAAAGTCCCATGGGACCTTAGCAACACACCAAACAGAAAGTAGATCCTTTATTAAAAAAAAATGTAGTTTTGTATTAACTGTAATTCTACTCCAAATTCCCCCCAGAATAAATGAAGTATTCTGATTAAAGTAAAAGAACCCAATATTGCATCAATATTCATAATCCAATAGTTTCCTAAATATAATTCCAAAATGGCACATAACACATAAGTACTTTTACTTTTGTTACCTTAAGGTCATGTTGATGCCAATACTTTTGTACTTTTAAAAGTCAAATCTTTAGTGCATGACTAACCTTTTGGTAAGGTATAAGGTATAAAGTATTTTTACAATTTATGGCTACACAAAAAAGGTCTGATTTCTTCTTCGAGCCCAGAGAAAAGCTACTACTGGTACTGACCGAGTCCTCGGAGCGTGCCCAGGTGTGTTATCATGTAGTTACTGATGGTGTGATTGGCCAGAGAGTCGAACATGCTGCTGAGAGCTGACGCCCCCGCCGCCGTGCCGATCAGATACTCCAGGATTAAGTTCCAGCCAATGAAAAACGCCACAAACTCCCCGACCGTCACGTAGCTGTAGGTGTAGGCCGAGCCCGTGGTCTTCGGGACTCGGACCCCAAACTCTGCGTAGCACACACCTGAGGACGAATATGCTCAATGAGAATAAACAACTTTTAAACTTAGATTAGATACCAGATTCTAATGATTCAATTCAGACTTGGCGAATCTCTGTGGGACTACGTTTGTTTTTGGAACTGTGAGGAAGAGACTCATCAATGTGTTCTCACCTGACAGTATGGAGGCCATCGCCGCTATAATAAATGACAGGATGACCCCGGGCCCGGCCATCGCCTTGGCTACCAGCCCGGCGACCACGTACATTCCAGTGCCGACACAGCTGCCCACCCCGAGGGACACCAGGTCCACGGTGGTCAGGACCTTAGCCAGCCCGATCCCCGAGCCCTCCCCGAGCTCGGTGAGGTCATCGGAGCCGTGAGCCATGGAGCCCATCGGCTTGGTCCTCAGCAGGCGGGAGTACATGTTGAACCAGGCGTCGCCCAGAGAGAGGCGGCCCAGCCACGCCGCCATCACCGCACCTGATTCTCACCTCACTCGATTCTACTGTTTAAGCTTCTTTGTGGCTCCTTCTACCTTTTCTTTGGCACACCCTCTATCATACTTTCTCTCCCATTGTGAGTCTCCTCATCAGGGTCCCCACTTTCTTCTTCTTTAAGAGCAACACATCCAAACGGGGGATATGGACGCTGTTAAAATAACAATTCAAATGATTTAGTAATAGTATGAACGACAACGATAAACAAGCAATTCCCTTACTATCCTACCTAATTGTCCGTCCCTTTTCCCTTTTAATTCATCTCGTATGCTGTGGATCAAAACATTCAACTACACAGAAGGAACTTGTTAATGATCTCAAGGCAGCTGGGACCACTGTCACCAAGAAAACTATTGGTAACACACTACACCATAATGGACAAAATCCTGCAGCTCCCGCAAGGCCCCCCCCGATCAAGAAGGCTCATGTACGAACCGTCTGAAGTTTGACAATAAACATCTGAATGATTCAGAGAAGGCTTGGGAGAAGGTGATGCAGTCAGATGAGACCAACATCGAGCCAGGACACTGAACATGGGTCCTGGAGGGGTCTTCCAGCAGGAAAATAAACCTGAACATACAGCCAAGGCAACAAAGGAGTGGCTAAAGAAGAAGCCGATTTAGAGTCCTGCGGGAGTCACGAGGGAGGCAAAGAGGAGGCAAATCCTACTTTGATTGAGCTAAGTATCGCTGGTGTTTTATTTTGTTTTTTAGCCCCTTCATGCTATAATCATGTGTATTTTCTCCATTCCTGTTTATGTGTCTTCTCGCAATTATCACTGGCCCCGTGTATCTCCTAATCGATATAACCGACCTGCTCTCGTCTATCCCACATGCTCCACTGAGATCCAACATCTAGTTTCAGGGGGCCTGTGGAACTGCCAGTCAGCTGTTCCTAAGGCCGACTTCATCTCTGGCTACGCCTCCCTGCAGTCCCTGGATTTCCTTGCTCTCACTGAGACCTGGATTACTCCATCCAACACATCCACCCCAGCAGCTCTCTCCACAGCATATTCATTCTCCCATACACCCAGACCCTCTGGCAGAGGAGGTGTATGGGCTCCTGCTCTCTCCCAAATGGAGCTTTTCCCTCTTCAAGCTACCTAACTTCACTCCTTCCACCTTTGAATTCCATGCCGTCACAGTAACCCATCCTATACAATTAACCATTGTTGTTCTCTACCGTCCACCAGGCGCCTTGGGGGACTTCTTAGAGGAATTAGATAATCTCTTCTCACACATCCCTGAAACTGGCCCTCCCGCTGTACTTCTCGGAGACTTCAACCTCCAGACAGGGAAGATATCTGAACTAACATCTCTTTTAACCGCCTTTGCTTTCTCACTGTCTCCATCCCCACCAACTCATAAAGCTGGCAATGTCCTTGATCTCATATTCTCAGGAACTGCACTGCTTCTAACCTCTCTGTAAACCCGCTTCACACATCCGATCACTTCTTCATTTCATTCTCTCTATCCCTTTCCAAACATAACAAACTAATCTCTTCCCATCCTGCACTTGTCCGCCGTAACCTTCGCTCCCTCTCCCCCTCTACCTTTGCCTCGTCGGTGCTCTCAGCCCTCCCTTCCTCTGACTCGTTCCAACTCCTGCCTCCAAACTCTGCTGCAGAAACTCTCCTCTCTCCTCTCTCATCTTCTCTGGACTCTCTCTGTCCTCTCACATCTCGGCAGGCTCGTCAGTCCCCTCCTACTCCCTGGCTAAATGACACACTGCGTGCTAATAGAACCATCCTTCGGGCAGCAGAGCGGAAACGGTGGAAATCCAAACACCATGACGACCTCCTAACCTGTCAGGCTCTCCTCTCCTCTTTTTCTGCTTCGATCTCTCAGGCAAAAAGCACTTTCTTTCAAGATAAGATCCAATCTTCCTATTCCAATCCCAAAAAACTATTTTCCATCTTCTCCACCCTCTTGGACCCTCCAAAGCCCCTTCCCCCTCCTCCCTTCTGTCAAGCGACTTTGTTAACCACTTTGAAAAAAAGGTTGATGATATTCGCTCTTCTTTTTCTGACTCACCTTTAATCACTGCTGGGTCACCAGACCCCCCTTTCACCCACACACTGACCTCCTTTTCCCCTCTCTCTCCAAGTGAGGTTCTTAGCGTCCTACCATCTGTCCAGAGGACAGATGGTAGGACGCTACCATCTGTCCTCTGGACCCCATTTAATCAACACTTCTCTAACTTCTGGTCACTTTCCAAACAGTCTCAAGAAGGCAAGAGTAAACCCTCTCCTAAAGAAACCCACTCTCAACCCGTCCGATGTTATAAACTATAGGCCTGTCTCTCTCCTCCCGTTCCTTTCTAAAACACTTGAACGTGCTGTCTTTAAACAACTCTCCTGTTATCTCCATCAGAATAACCTTCTGGATCCGCACCAGTCTGGTTTCAAGGCAGGTCACTCAACAGAAACGGCCCTCCTTGCTGTCACTGAGGAACTGCACACGGCTAAAGCAGCCTCCCTCTCCTCTGTCATCATCCTTTTGGACCTGTCTGCTGCATTCGACACGGTGAATCATCAGATCCTCCTTCGCACTCTCCAAGAACTTGGAGTTTCAGGCTCTGCACATTCCCTCCTCACCTCATACCCCAAAGACCGCACCTACAGGGTTACTTGGAGAGGGTCGGAGTCCGACCCTTGTCAATTAACTACAGGGGTCCCTCAGGGCTCTGTTCTTGGTCCCCTCCTCTTCTCCTTGTACACAAACTCGCTCGGATCTGTCATTAGCCCGCATGGTTTTTCATACCACTGCTACGCTGACGACACCCAACTAATTCTGTCCTTTCCCCGCTCAGACACCCAGGTCGTCGCATGCATCTCTGCTTGTCTAGCAGACATCTCTCAGTGGATGTCTGCTCACCACCTCAAGCACAACCTTGACAAGACTGAACTGCTTTTCCTTCCGGGAAAAGATTGTCCCACTCTTGACCTAACAATCAACATCGGCACCTCTATTGTTTCCCCGACTCAGACTGCAAGGAATCTGGGTGTGACCCTAGATAACAAACTGTCCTTCACTGCAAACATAGCTGCTACAACCCGCTGCTGCAGATACACTCTTTACAACATTAGGAGTATACGTCCCCAGCTGACCCAGAAAGCGACGCAGGTTCTGGTCCAGGCTCTTGTCATCTCACGCCTAGACTACTGCAACTGCCTCCTGGCTGGTCTACCTGCATGTGCCATCCAACCTCTGCAGCTCATCCAGAATGCAGCTGCTCGTCTGGTCTTCAACCTTCCTAAATTCTCCCACACCACTCCGCTCCTCCGCTCCTCCGCTCCCTTCACTGGCTTCCGGTAACTGCTAGAATCCACTTCAAGACAATGGTACTTGCGTACCATGCTGCGAATGGATCTGGCCCTTCCTACATCCAGGACATGGTTAAACTGTATACCCCAGCACGTGCACTCCGCTCTGCATCAGCCAAACAGCTCGCTACACCCGCACTGCAAGGGGGACCCAAGTTCCCATCAGCAAAAACACGTGGGTTTGCTATCCTGGCTCCAAAATGGTGGAATGAGCTCCCCATTGACATCAGGACAGCAGATAGCTTACACATCTTCCGGCGCAGACTGAAAGCTCATCTCTTTCGACTCCACTTTGAGCGATATCATTATTAACAAAGCACTTATATACTAATAAAGGACTGGCTTATCTAAAGCCAGTTGAGTAGCACTTGAAATGTTTTAGCTCTATGAAACCTGATGTGACTTATATGATTCTGTTTTCTTCAAGTTTGTATTTTGTTGGTCGAACGCACTTATTGTAAGTCGCTTTGGATAAAAGCGTCAGCTAAATGCAATGTAATGTAATTTAGGTGATGGAGTGGCCCAACCAGCCTCCAGACATTAATTCCATAGAAAATCTGTGGAGGGAGCTGGAGCTTCGAGATGCCAAGCATCAGCCTCAAAACCTGAAGGATTTGGAGAGGATCTTCGGAGAGGAGTGGACCACAATCCTTCCTGAGATGTTCACAAACCTGGTGACCAACAAGAAGCATCTGACCTCTGTGCTGTCCAACAAGGGTTTCTCCACCAAGTACAAGACATGTACAAGACAAGGGGATAAAATACTTATTTCCCATAGTTAAATGCAAATCAATTTGTATCTTTTATATAATGTCAATTTCTGGATTTTCTTTTTGATATTCTTCCTCTCGCTGTTAAAATAAACCTACCACAAAAAATATAGACTTACCAAATCTGCAAGGGATCAAATACTTATTTTCTCCACTGAATGTTTTGTATAATTTGAGAGAAACCATTCCTTCCTGTTTTCTTTTAGAACACCAATGCATTGAGAAAATCTCAATTAATAAAAATGCAATGATTGTTAAACTTTAGCTATATCTAATGATGGGATTGGGATAGCATCAGCCACTCTCATCACTCACCAGAGCGAGACTCCCTCTCTGAAACATTCATGAACACCAAGGATCTGCTTTCACAATGGAAAACTACGACTAAAGAAGCAGAAACTGAACTGAAACACACCAGAAAAAACTTCTACTAATCTGAAATGTACACCTAAACTGAATTTAACACACGATCAACACACACAGGATGGGTTAAGACAGAAATAAAAGCACAGACAGTGGCATAGAAATGTTAAAAATACATTCATAAATGCAGATTAAAGATGCCCACCTGTGCAGAAAGATAATACTCACTGTTTGTGTGTTTTCCTGGAAAAATGGTTTGAGTCCACTTCCTCTGCAGACCTGTAGGAAATGAGAAGACAGCGTTAATCCTTCAGACCTGACACCATGTGATACATTATTCAACACCTGAATGAGACAGTGTGTGTGTTTGTGTGTCATCATTCATTCATAGGAGGGAGGTTAGTGTAGCTGCTGTGAAGGTGTGCGAGTTAACTTTGTGCTGCAGCTGCCATAAATGGTGTTTCTTTACTTTTTGTGTGTATGCACAGCTGAGAACTGAACAGGTGTGTGTGTGTGTGTGTGTGTGTGTGTGTGTGTGTGTGTGTCTGTGTGTGTGTGTGTGTGTGTGTGTGTGTGTGTGTGTGTGTGTGTGTGTGTGTGTGTGTGTGTGTGTGTGTAATGGAAAGTTATCTTACATCCTGCACGAGTTGCTTTTAGTTTAATTTTAATCGTATTATCCAGCTAATAAAACAAAAACTCAAGTGTCCACTTACTTGCTTTTCTTCTTGGGCTTTCAACCATGTCTTCATCCGTGCATGGTGGAGTTTGTTCAGTTCAGTTGTCATGAAGAAACCCTTCTCTCATGTGTTGGTTTATTCACAGGAATACAATGACAGCAATATTATGGTACACCATTAATAGAATAGTATGTATTAATCGGGGAAATCCGGAAGTAAATGCAGTGTGATAAAAATATTTTTGGAATATCTTACATCTGTAGTTATTCTTTAAATAAAACAAAGTTGAAGTTTTCATATTAAATTAAATATGTTTTATTGCAATTATTTTGTTGCAGAACTTTTATTTCCATATTGTTTTATATATAATACTATAAATAGTATTACCCTATTGAATATAATACACATCCTTATGTGAGAGACTGCATTACTTTGGTTAAATAACTGTCTTGTACTATTTGTTGCTACTGTTATACACATGTATTGGTTGTTAATTAAAAGTTTTATTCTCATGAAGTTGTTATTTTATATGTTAAAGTCTCTTTTCAACAGCAATGTCATCTCTTTTGCCCACTCCAGTTCAGTATCTAAAGGAAGTGGAAATCTATTTCACACTTTGCCTGTGCAACATGTTTCAAAACAATCTCACGTTTGAACACTGCTGCTGCTGCAGTCATTCTCCTGTCAGTCTAACATATTAAAAGAGCATCCACATTTTCCAAACTGTATACCAAATTAAATGTGCACATTGAACGTTTTGTGGCTGTATTTTGGTCTGCTGGTAATCCGATGCTCAGGGTCAGATTTCACCTGCAGACATGGTAACATGGAGTTAAAAAGGAGAAACCCGACACCAGATATTATCCACACACACAGCTTTATAGGAGAAAACCCTGAAGCCATCTCAACCTGAGCTCAAAATATATAGCAACCTGACTTTAAGTTTAATTTAGTTTTAATAATTTGAATATATAATATATTTCCCATCATTAAATCCTATATTATGTGCACGTTTTAAAATGTATGAGTATAACTGCAAACTGTTGAGCGTCTGCATGATATCAAATCCAATAACTGAAACTCTTGATATGAAGATTTGAGACGCCAGCCGCTGAAGGTGGAAGCATTCCTGAGGCTGCGTGCTTTATATACAACAGATGAGCGACTTTGAGTGAATCCAGACACTCACACACACATAGCAAAACATCCTTTTCTGTTTAAGGGAGTAAAGGTTTTTTTTGCAGCCTGACGCAATTCATAAAGGGACGTGCGGAGATAGAGGAAGACCAATGTTTTTTTAGTAGCCTTTTGTTATTACAAAACATACTTAGGATTTCAGTGATATTACAAGATACATATCCATAATTGTATTGTAAAATTAAATTGGAACAACTACAAACTTGTCAAACCCAGAAAAAATATGTTGAAATATTTAGTTTGAGTTTAATCCACTACTTTTTTGTTTTGGAGTAGCAACCTCAAATGTGAGATTCAGATGCTCTTATTTGTATAATGGATATTGGACATTGAGCTTGTCAAACAAAGAACAGTCAGCTTTTAGTCAATGAAATGCTTTGATTCTAGCGTTTATCTTGTCTTAACGTGACTTTATTGGTACTTTAATACACCAACTGTGCCTGCAGCAGTCTCTTATTTCTGGGTATGAAGGTGTATAAAAAGGTATCTGCAGCATCACCTAGTGTGCATTGAGTGAACTGCTACATGACCATTTTCAGGTACATGGTGGTGCATCAGTTTCACATGAGACATTTATCCAAGTCTACCCTTATTAATATGCTAAAGGGTGGATAAAACTGCTCAGAGTTAAGCAAAAATGTACATGCAAAAATAAAATGACTTTCAAAAAACCTTTAATGCATTATGGTTTGTAGAGAAGAGAATATTTGAAAAATAAAAACAGGACAATAACAGTTATTTTTCCACGTTTATTCTCCTGACAGAATCATTTACTCGTCTGCCTCTGACTCCTCCTCGTCGTCCTGACTGATCTGGAAGTAGCGCAGTTCGTACGTCTCTTTATCGGATGCCACGACTCTCAGCCAATCACGGAGGTTGTTCTTCTTCAGGTACTTCTTTGTCAGGTACTTAAGATACCTGGTGGGGAAGAGGATGGGTCAATTAGTACTCGAATACAATTATTAATGGTAAAACTGTGTACACATGCAACAGGGTTACTACAGCTTTAGGAAAGTTAGATTTCATTTTGAAATAGGCAGTCAGAATACAATGTTAAACGAATTAAAAAACATTGCCAAATGTTAACTGACTTAAAATGGGATCTTTTTGTTCCAGTGAAAAAGTTAGAAGATATAGAAAAAAATATTGACCAATGTGAGATGCATTTGGTACTAGTCATAATAAAAATCAAACATCTTGTGATTTATTAATGCAACAGATTTTTAAGGCTTTTATCATATCTATTCAAGATATTTTAAAACCAATTACAGCTTATTTTAAAGGTCATTTTAAGACTTTTTAAATGAAGGCAACTTATTCTGTTCAGTAAAACAAGCCTAATTATACCTCATCTCACCTTTTGGAGAACTGCTTCTCAGACGTGACGTTGATCTTGTTCTTCATGCGGCCGACCTGCACTGTGTTGCCCAGGTTCCCCGTCTTTCCGTTGACCTTTATCCTCTCTTTAAGGAAGATTTCCTGTTGGATAGAACACATTGACGCACTAGGGAAGAGAACCCTAGTATATGCGGCGCTAGGGAAGGCAGCCCTAGTCCAGACACATTGTTAACTGGTGCAAACATCACTCTACTAACACTTTTATGATCTCATTGTATCAATAATATGCAAGAGGAATGTTCTGTTAAAGAGTGTAGAAAGTGCAGTTGGACTTACAAAGTTTGCAGAGTCCAGGATCCCATCCTCCACAGGGTGGGTCAGGTCCAAGGTGAACTTCCATGAAGCTCCCTTTTTGGTCTTCCTGCCAGCAGTAGGTCTCTTCTGTTTGAGCTGTGAGAAGTAAATAAAAAAAGCAGCAACATTAAGAAACTTAATGTGTTAGCAGCAGCAAATATCGGATTGATATATATTTGTAGTCCTCCTATAATCTCTAATTGTCTCATTTCAGTATTTCGTAATTAAA